AAATTACAACATCATGTCATATATGTAAGTACATTAGTCTGTTTTGTGAAAATCAGTTTTATATTATCTCTGCCGTGAGACATCCGAACTCTAGTCGGTCGAAAGAATATAAAACATGAAAGCTTTCTGGAAGTAATGGTGTCTCGTGTTATGTTTATTTTTATGTTTTTTTTATATATATATTATTAATTTTAAATACATTTCCTTTTTATACAATGTCATTCTTTAGAAAGTATTTTATAAACAAATAATAATTAAGAGAAGTAATTGCTTTTTAAGTTGTTAAGTACAAATCTATTAAAATGAGCTTATGAGCATCCCTATTTAATTATTTTAAAAACGGAAATAATTCATGGAAGTGATTTGAACGTTTGCTTATCTTTGATAAGTTAGATCACGGGTTTCCAACCTGGGGGTCGCCAACTGGTATGCTAAACCTTAGTAATTTGAAACGAAACATAAATATTTAGAAGAATTTTTTGAAATTCGGCTTCATTAACATCACTGGAAATGTAATAGGAGAAGAAACAAAGCGCACTGTACAAAGTTGTTCTCAGTCACGAATCTATGAAATCTTCAAAACTAAAACGTCATTTGAGACGAGTCATTCGGAACACACCAAAAAATATATGGAGTTCTTTCGTCGATAAGAAGCTAGTTGCAAACGCCAGAGACTTGATCGAACAGGAAGTTTTCATCAGCATTAGTGCAAGCGTCAAATGAAGTCGCGATAGAAAATGCCAAGCAAAAAAAACAAAAAAAACAATAGGAGAAAATCTCATCAAACGCTGCATGTACATAAATGTTAAATAACACATTTTTTTATTGAAATCAAGCTTTCACCATTGTCTGCTTTTCAAGTTGATAAATCAACAGACGTGAGTTCGTGTTCGCAGTTGCTGGTCTGTGTCGATATTCATGCGGATGATAGCAAAGATAAAACAGTTGCTCTTTTGTGAAGATAGCATGGAGAAAATAAATATCTTTTTTGAAACTGGGTGATTAAATTGGGTAAGAACGGCTGTGGGGGTTTGTAAGGATGGTGCGCCATCTATGTTTTGCTTAAAATCAGGCTTTCAGAAAACAGAAAAGATTTCGCTCCCTAACCACTGCCCTAATCAATCGACATCAAGAGTCCATTGCTAGTATAAGTCGTAAATTATATAAAATCTGGAGCCTTCAAAGAACTGAGCAAAAACATTAATATAGATAACGAGGTTTTGCTCTTCTACACTACAGTACGCTGGCTGTCAAATGAAATGTTGTAAGTTGTGTTTTTGAATTGAAATCTGAAATCAAATTGTTCTTGTGAGTGCAAAGGAAACAAGACTTTTTGGTATACTTAAAACGGCATAGAGTGGTTGGAGAGAGTATCATACCTAGCAGATATGTTCGAACATCAAGATAAGCTTAACTTGAAGCTTCAGGGAAAATGAACGAATATTATAACTTTCCATGATAATCTCGGGGCATTTTTATCAAAGCTGCAAAATCGGTAAAGAAAACAAATCTTTGGAATATTGTAAATTTGCGAAACTCTGCGGTGTGGTAGATGAATCTGATTGTGAGATAATTAAAATTTTGAAAGAAACGATTTCTGGGCATCTTGAATCTCTTGAAAACGAACTGCATCGCTATTTCTCTGAGCTGAAAAAAGAAGAATCTGCATTTACGCATTACCCATTCTCTTCTTCTCTTGATGTTACCAGCATTCCCGATGAATTACAAGATCAATTCTTTGATTTGCAGAATGATTCCGTGTAAGATGAAAAACTGCAGACACAATTTTGGTGTAGTATTCACCATTCATACCCAAACGTGAAATTGATTGACTTTTCGAGAATATATTTTCAACACTATTCTTCGATTAAAAACAAAATTAAGATAATTATAATCACATAGGTTGGCGTTAACAAATTTAAAAAAAAATTAAAAACTTAACCACGAAGGTTTAGTGAATAGTATGCAATTTTACTCATGCTTTTAAAACAGTTATCAAGAGTAGTTCATATTGAAAGTCTACTAGAAAATCTTATTTTAGTGCTTATTAATTTCCATACTAATTTCATTTCGGCTTTTTAATTCTATGGGGGTCGCGGGTCACTTACTTTTTATAAAAGGGGGTCGCCACTCGAAAAAGGTTGGGAACCACTGAGTTAGATTGTGGGAGAAAGAAGATTCGGCTTTCACAGTGGTTTAAAAACCAATGGAAAAACAATATACAAGAGCGTGGTGTGGTGTCTATAGAATGAAGATAATCCAACCGCAGCTACGGTAATCTTTTTACAAAACAACCATCAAGTCAAAAAATGCAAGAAAATTAATTTTTTTTTCAACTATAATTTTTTTTTTTATTATGGTCGGTTGTGGGCCTCTAAATGGCGTGCCCCCACCCCCCCCCCCCCCCCACTGTAGTTCCGCCCTGTCAGGCATATAGTTTTTTAACGCAACATCATGTGTTAGCTACTGTATAACATCACTACTGTAGTAGATCTGTTTGTTATTTACAAAAACTTTTACCGTCAAGTCAAAAATGCAAGAAAATTATTTTTTTTAACTATAAAGAATTTATTATGGTCGGTGATGGGCCCCTAAATGGCGTGCCCCCCCCCCCCAATGCGGGGTCTGGCGGCACTGTATTTCCGCCCCTGATGTACATCGAAAACGACCATTAAAAATCTTCGTTTTACATCTTTTGAGGTGAAATAAAATTGGTTTACTCAAGTTTGGTGATGAGGATTGGTATTGTTTGGTGTGGTATAGTGTCGATTGGTATGGTATGTTATGGTGAGATTTGATGTAGTTTGGTGTGGATTGGTGTAGTATGGTGTGATTTGGTGTGGATTGGTGTGGTATGGTGTGATTTGGTGTGGTTTTGTGTAGTTAGGTGTGGTTTGGTGTGGTTAAGTGTGGTTTGGTGTAGATTGAATGATAAGTATTTGTTTTTAAGTCGTGCGTTTAAAATATCAAATTGTGTAGTCATCAGAAATAGGTCACAAGTGGCGGGGCTTAACTTTTGACCCGTGCACTCTTAGCATTAGTGGCGGGGCTTAACTTTTCACCCGTGCACTCTTTGCATTAGTGGCGGGGCTTAACTTTTGACCCGTGCACTCTTAGCATTAGTGGCGGGGCTTAACTTTTCACCCATGCACTATTTGCATTAGTGGCGGGGCTTAACTTTTCACCTGTGCACTCTTTGAATTAGTGGCGGGGCTTAACTTTTCACCCAGTGCACTCTTTGCATTAGTGGCGGGGCTTATCTGGACAAGATCCAAATGCTGACAAGGCAGTGTTGTCAGTAGCAATAGGTTTTCCTGTGATGATTTACGTAAGTCGGTAAAGGAAGCCTCACACGTTTGACTTGCCGACAGTTCAAATCTAGATGGGGCTCTGCTTTAGTTGGGTAATGGTAGAGCCCAACGGTGATGCAAAATACCAGTCTCGCACAGCTTATAATGATTACACAATAAAGCAAAATCCCAGTCTCGCACAGTTTATAATGACAACACAATGATGCAAAATACCAGTCTCGCACATAATAACAACACAATAATGCAAAATACCCATCTTGCACAGATTTTAGTGATTACACAATAATGCAAAATATTGTCTCGTACAGCTAATAATGATTAGACAATAATGCAAAATACCCATCTCGCACATCTTATAAAGTAACACAGTGATGCAAAATACCCGTCTCGCACAGCTTATTATGATAACACAATATGCAAAATACCCGTCTCGCACAGCTTAATATGATAATACGATATGCAAAATACCCATTCTCGAACAGCGTACTAAGATATTTTAATGGACTCAAGTTGTTTTTTTTTAATGTGCGTTAATTCCCCAACACATACAGGTGAACGAGGACGCAGCTGAAACACTAGCGACACGCACCAGACACATGAGACACACACCAGACACATGAGACACACACCAGACACAGACCGACACCGAGCTAGGCGAGCTGAAACAAAGCACCTGCCTGTTCTAATCAACCGCATCTATTATCACACCACTGCTGAACTCCATTACCCCCACTGTCAGGGGCGTTCACTCTCCTCGTTCTTCACAACTTTAACCACGCCCATTTAGGGAACATTTATAGCTAACCAATTTTACATTTACAATTTGCATTCCTCGTCTTAAACATCAATTAGTACAGGGTCAACATTATTGAGTTACGAGAAAATTGAAAACTGTCTTTGAATTTCCTAAATGATTTTCTAAGTTGTTACTTTACTAAATGTCGCAATGAGTGCTCTTCAGCTTGATTTTTTAAAAACAAATATTATCGGGTGTATTCATCAATACTAGATTATAGATGTTTACTGAGAAATACATGAGATGTTTCAGTGAGCTGTGTGCCAGTCAGTGGTCTGTGTGTATGTCAGTGGGATGTGTGTATGTCAGTGGGCTGTGTGTATGTCAGTGGGATGTGTGTATGTCAGTGGGCTGTGTGTATGTCAGTGGGCTATGTGTATGTCAGTGGGCTGTGGCTATGTCAGTGCGCTGTGTGTATGTCAGTGGGCTGTGTGTATGTCAGTGGGCTGTGTGTATGTCAGTGGGCTGTGTGTATGTCAGTGGGCTGTGTGTATGTCAGTGGGCTGTGTGTATGTCAGTGGGCTGTGTGTATGTCAGTGGGCTGTGTGTGTCAGTGGGCTGTGTGTATGTCAGTGGGTTGTGTGTGTCAGTGGGCTGTATGTGAGTGGGCTGTGTGTATGTCAGTGGGCTGTGTGTATGTCAGTGGGATGTGTCAGTGGGCTGTGTGTATGTCAGTGGGCTGTGTGTATGTCAGTGGGCTGTTTGTATGTCAGTGGGCTGTTTGTATGGCAGTGGGCTGTGTGTGTCAGTGGGCTGTGTGTATGTCAGTGGGCTGTGTGTATGTCAGTGGGCTGTGTGTATGTCAGTGGGCTGTATATACTTTAAGTTATAAAAAAAAAAACGTTGTGAAACACACACACACAATTATAGATGAGCAGTTGCAGATTACTCACCTGTTAAAAAATACTCTTGTGGTTTGCTCAGTTTGAACGTGTCCCGGGTGACGCCCATCACAAAGTAGTCGCCAGTATCCAGTAATCCAGTGTCTTTAAGATTATCCATTAGCCCAACAAATTCGAAGGACTCGCCCAGCATCACGTAGACTGATATATATATATTTATATATATATATATATATATATATGTATATATATCAGTCTATATATATGTATATATATATATATATATATATATATATATATATATATATATATATATATATATATATATATATATATATATATATATATATATATATATATGCTCTCAATGTGCTTGTTTATAAATAATTGTATGTGTGTGTTTGGCGATGTGTTATGTGCCAAATATGAATGTAAAAAACTACCAAATGCATGAATTGTGACACGTTTCATAGTAATCCAAAGAGGGATTCTTCAAGTGTACGTGCATGTGTGTGTTTGCGTGTGGTGTGTGCGGGCGACTGTGCTTGTGCGTGTGTGTGTGCGCGCGTGTACAATTACTAATAATACAATGAGCTACTAACTTCTTGTAGTGTGGATAGTCTTGGCTACAATCTCAACAAAGGGGTTCCCCATGTGGTTGTGTGTGTGTATGTGTGTGTGTATGTGTGTATGTACGAGTGTGTTCAACTACTAACGAGGCTATGAGCTACTAACTTCTGGTGACGAGTTTTGGCCACGATCTCAACAAACGGGTTCCCCATATGGTTGTGTGTGTATGTGTGTGTGTGTATGTATGACTGTGAGTGTGTGTTCAACTACTAACGAGGCTATGGGCTACTAACTTCTGGTGTTATGACGAGTCTTGGCCACGATCTCAACAAACGGGTTGTGTGTGTATGTGTTTGTGTATGTGTGTGTGTGCATGTACGAGTGTGTTGAGCTACTAACTTCTGGTATTATGACGAGTCTTGGCCACAATCTCAACAAAAGGGTTCCCCGTGTGGTTGTGTGTATGTATGTGTGGGGATGTACGAGTGTGTGCGTTCAACTACTAACGAGGCTATGGGCTACTAACTTCTTGTATTGTGGCGTGTTTTGGCCACGATCTCAACAAACGGGTTGTGTGTGTACGTGTGTGTGTATGTGTGTGTATGTACGAGTGTGTTCAACTACTAACGAGGCTATGAGCTACTAACTCCTGGTATTATGACGAGTCTTTGCCACGATCTCAACAAACGGGTTCCCCATGTGCTTGTGTGTATATGTGTGTATGTGTGTGTATGTGTGTCTATGTACGAGTGTGTTCAACTACTAACTTCTGGTATTGTGGCGTGTCTTGGCCACGATCTCAACAAACGGGTTCCCCATGTGATTGTGGAAGTACGGCCCGCCGTACGTGTGGACTGAGTTGACCTCGACCTTGTGGGCCACCATCAGCTGTGGATGAAAGAGTAAAAATATTGTCTCAGAAATCCCCCAAAACCCAGCAGACGTTTGAATCGTCAGCCTGGCCAGCTGACGTCCCAGTCGTCTGCTGAAGTCTGTATGGGTGGAAAAAGCCAGTGCAAAGACGAAAGGAAAGCGGGGAGGGACGGGGGTGGATTTCATCTTCCTGATAAACAAAGTTATTGCGCCAAAAGGGCCGTCTGTGACGCGTCTCGTCCGGATGTGACGTCATGTTCTGTCAAATTGGAATTGGTGTAAACAATATGATTGGGAGGGGGTGGGTTTGTTTATGAAATAGATCTACATCCCTGATGAAGTTATTTTCTGCGTTGTAGTTTATCAATGATAAACAGAAACATAGTTCAAGATAGTATACACTAAACCCAAACCTAGCATTCACTGTAAAGTGCTTATCATGAAGTGTCGACGCGCAGTGCATACATATGATTTTGGTCGTGGGTGCCTCTATTAATTCGTATGTGAATGGATGAAGTCTATAGATTGATAGCTTACAATTAGTTGAGCTACCCAATGATGATACTCCACTCTAAACCCCAGTCTCTACACCCCAATCTCGACACCCCACTCTCGACACCCCAGTCTCTACACCCCAATCTCGACACCCCACTCTCGACACCCCAGTCTTGACACCCCAATCTCGACACCCCAGTCTCTACACCCCACTCTCGACACCCCAGTCTCTACACCCCAATCTCGACACCCCACTCTCGACACCCCAATCTCGACACCCCAGTCTCTACACCCCAATCTCGACACCCCACTCTCGACACCCCACTCTCGACACCCCAGTCTCTACACCCCAATCTCGACACCCCACTCTCGACACCCCAGTCTTGACACCCCAATCTCGACACCCCAGTCTCTACACCCCACTCTCGACACCCCAGTCTCTACACCCCAATCTCGACACCCCACTCTCGACACCCCAATCTCGACACCCCACTCTCGACACCCCAGTCTTGACACCCCACTCTCGACACCCCACTCTCGACACCACAGTCTTGACACCCCCCACTCTCGACACCCCACTCTCGACACCCCAGTCTTGACACCCCCCACTCTCGACACCCCACTCTCGACACCCCAGTTTTGACACCCCCCACTCTCGACACCCCAGTCTTGACACCCCCCCACTCTCAACAACTCACTTAATGTTACATCATTATATTGTTAAACTGAAATGTATTATTCCGAACATTTTTAATTAGAAAATGTTAAAATTAAATTTATTGAAACGAATACTGCATTCCTGCACAACTTGTCACTTCGTACAATGTGCTCCATTTATTATATTACTATCGGTTATCTGACGTGGCCCAACGGTAGAGCGCTCGACTGTCAACCCCGAAAGTCTCGAGTTCGAATCCTGGTTCAAGTCAGTAGTATGTCCCTAACTCCACCCAGCCCTGAAGGGGAAGTAAAGACGGCTGGGCATAGTGCTGACCACACTACTCTTCATACCCCGAGGTAGCAGAAACAGGTGAACTTTACTTCACTTGCCTCATAGACAGTCAGGTTTGAAAACAGAATTTTACTTTACTTTTATTACTTTCTACGTCAGCATTTGCTTTTAAATTCGTTATTTAAATCGTTAACACAAAACTAGGTATTTAAAAGCAATTATCGCAAAAGTATATTTCATTTTGTAATCGTATATTTCTTTTACACAAGTGCTACTTCTCTATTCATGAAAAATATAATTTTACCTTTGAAACTATTTGTTTCAATCGTAGGCTAAGTTGGGTTTTCGTTTAATAAAAGACAATAAATATTAAAACGTGTGTCGTCTTTTTTTTTCATCTCGGATATTTGTTAACATTTTATTAAATTTTTATTTAAATTGCCAGCAGTTTCTTGTTTATATCTTGAGATGGAGGTTTAATTAAAGTAAACTAATATCATTAAAGCAAAATAACTTTTTTTTTACAAATAATAGCTACATTGATTTTATAACTACAGATATATTTTTAATGGATTTTTATAAATTTTACTGAAGTTAAAATAGAAGTATCGTTGCTGACGAAGACGTTTAGGCGAAACATTTAAGCAGCAAGATACAGATACAGTAGTGTTGTACGCGGAGATTGGGGGCAGCAATGGCTTTGTTACCAGAGTTTCTTCCAGGCATCTCTTCGGGGGGGTTCAAAGCCCCCCCCCCCTCCCGAAAAAATTCTACCGCCCCCCCCCCCCCCCCGAACGAAATGAAATTTATATAATTTATATAGAAAATATATACTTTTAACAGTGTTCGCCCTTCCCGAAGAAAGTCTACCCCCCCCCCCCCCCGAAAATTTAAAGTGCCCCTCCCCCCCCCCCCCCCCGGAGAAAAAAGTCTGGAAGAAACACTGTTTGTTACTTGATCAAAGAGGGAAGGTTTCTCAAAATTGTACTGATGTGTATCTTGGGCGGGATCGGCGTGGTCGAGTCGGTAAAGTTCATGGTTGCTAAATCGGAATTTCTCGAGTTCGAACTCTCGGACAGATGAGGAAGCTAAGGAAGCAAACCCACATAGAAAAAAAAATATATATATATAGATGTATATATATAAATAGATTTTCCTAATCCTAATCAAAGATCATAATATTGAAAGAAAAATGTTAGTGGCTCTTTTAAAACTGAAATTTTTTTGTAATTCGCAAATTTAGGCTGTTCCGTCTCACAAGGTTGCCGACCCCCGTCCTATAGTCCTGTTTTATATGCACTGAAAATATGATTTTGTGGGGGTTTTCTTTCGAACATCTGTTTCTGGAGGGCTGGATGGTGGTGGTCTTTTAACGCAAAACTTTCCAGCCGCTGGTTTGCTATCCCGTTGCGCCCTGGTCACGACCCTTTGAGGTGGCTTTACTGTAGGTAATTGTTTTTTACTTGAACTGATTGCTTGACTATATGACAGTTGACCTGATACCTTTGTTGCTGATATACTTTGTGAGCTTTTAATTTCCTTTAGCGGTTTCGTTATGCTTTCTGAACTAGTGTTATCTTGAAGAATATCATTTATTGTTTCGTCGACTGCCTCCAAATTTTCTTGATCCCCATCTTTTTGAGACCCTGTTAGTATGGAATTTCTGGTCGCTATTGTCTCCATGGCTTCGGCCTCTATGGTGGTTTCTGTTACGCTTTCGTTAACTTGCTGTGGTGCTACAGTAGTATGATGTGCTTCAGTTTGGCCATCTACTCCAAAGGCATCTTCTACCTCTCTATGCCTTGCTTCTCTAAGCATTTCATTTTGTCTTTCTCCGTCAACATCATAACTGTCCGAATGCTTTAAGAAATTTCTATTGTTACTTAGATGCTCCCTAACTTCTTCTTTATCATTTGCATCCCAAGGCTCAATTGCCCTGTACTGTCCATCTACTAGCTGGACGCCGTCAAGAGCGCGAGTCCTCAAATGCTCACACATTTTAGGCAGGTGCCTGTCTGTGTTGCAGTGGCAACATTGCACCCTCCTCCCATTGAGGATTATAAGGACTCTGCACTCCTTGTTGGCCTCATTTGTAAGTATAATAGAGTGTAGGACACTCTCCACATATTCTTTCTCCAGAGAGATGGTGAATTGGACCACATTTGATTGGTCTATTCTCTTAAATGTTGGTGTTGAGTCCTGACTGCTTATAGATTTCAGAATCGCCATTATATCATCGTCGCTTGTCTTGGAAGGCAGCCATTTCAGCATGCCCCTTTGCCCAGATTTATCGGCTTGGGTTATTGATATTATCTGCACTCTGTATCTTGATGTTACCCCAGGTGGTAAATCTCTGTGAAATTCTTTTAGGTGCATTTTCTCATATAGTTCCTTTGGGCAAATGGTAACATACCATTTACGCAGTGTCCCTTAGTTATACAGACCTTCAAATTCAGCTGGTGATAGGCTACATAACATACATAGCTCTCTTTTTAGTTCGTCAGCTGTGAGGGTAGCTAAAGAAAAACCCTCTTCTATGAAAATCTCTAGAGTTTTTGGCGCATGTCCTGCCATGCCAAACTTAGGCAGGAATAGCCGTTTGATGTATTTTTCCGACATAGTTGTGCGTGAGGCCAACCCGTGGCCAGGCAACACACACAAGAAATAAAAAAGGAAAAAAAGTACTTACAATGTATAAAATGTGAAAAAAATAATAACATGCACACACACAAGGTTCCAAATGGAAATACACACAAGTTTAAATAAGTAGAGATGAAATATATCCAAAGTCACTAGTCTGAAGTAACTGATTGTAAAAGTACACACGAAGGAGATACTTTTCAACACCCTAATAAAATAATTTCAAAATATATAAAGCTCAATTCTGTATGTTAAGTGTAATATGTCTGATTTTTTTTTTTTAATACTTTTATTTGCAATTAAAACAAGTACATCAACATCAAATTTTTTAACATAATTTTGAACACCAAATGAAAACGAAAGGTTTTGCAAATGTACATAATGAATATTTACAGGATGTCATGTATTTGATTATAAAAAAATTGCAAAGGATGACAGTAAAAGGGGTGAAGGTCAAATGAAAGTGTCAGAAGTCTGGGTGGGGAGAGGAAAGGAAATTTTTCAGAGAGGGTCAATGGGACAGTGAAGCATTTTCTATGTAGGGAAACAACTTAAGTTGACTAGTTGAAAGGGTGTTGTAGTGGTCGCATTGAATTTTCAAAAGGTTGCAGTGTGAAAGATGAGGGGAAAGAGAGAAGATTTAGAACTTTAAATAAGTTCTGAATATTGATGTTGCGGTGGGTGGTGGGGTCTTTGGAACAGTTTAAAGGGATTGTGGGGTTATCATGTCTGAGGGTAAAGTGGATAGAGGGGGAGAGAGGAGGGGGTAGATTTTTTTTTAATTTTAATTTTTATTAATTCAATTGTTTTAAACATTTAAATCAGTAATAATAATATATTTGATAGATTTTACATAGCATCAAAGACATGAACAGTGAACATCAATTGCATATATAATAATCAAAGGGAAAAAATGAAATGGCATAAG